AAATAGGGTAATAATGGACACCCTTGTCTGAAGCCACTTTTCCCTATAATACCTTCCAATCCAACTCTGTTAACTTGAACAATGAATTTAGGATCAGTTATACATTCCATAATTATATTGGAATAACCAATAGGAAAAAAAAAATAATTCAAAACTTGTTTTAGAGTTTTCCATGTCATACTATCATAAGCTTGCTCCATATCTAATTTGATTGCCATCATACATCTTTTAGAACTAAAAAATCTAAACTTATGGAAAATTTCTTGAGCAATGAGAACATGATCAGATAAGGACCTACCTTTGATAAAAGCAACTTGTTACTCTGAAACAAGGTTATGAATAACCTTCATCATTCTATTTAATAGCACTTTTGCTACAATTTTATAAATAGACATGCAAAGGCATATAGGTCTAAAGTTAGAAGGATATAAAGGATTGCTTACTTTAGGAATAAGCACCACCAATGTTTCTTTCCACTTAGGAGACATAGAACCCGAGCTAAAGAATAAAAGAATGGCTTTCCAGACGTCCTTCCCAATGATACTCCAGTAAGCTTTAAGAAAGGAATAGGTGATTCCATCCAATCCGGGAGCGATGTTGTTGCCAAGATCTTGAATGACCTTCTCAATTTCAGCAAAAGTTAATGCAGAATCCAAAAATTTGCAACTGTCTTGATTCAGAAGGTTCACATTTGGAGGCCAATTTTCCAAGAGACAATCTCTTTGATCCCACTTACAACAGAAAAAATCATAAAAATAGCTCTTAATGTCTTCAGGATCTTCTATTAGTTCCCCTTCCACATTTTTCAATTGCTTAATCGGATTGCTATTCCTTCTTCCACTAGCAAAAGTATGGAAGAATTTAGAATTAGAATCACCATCCTTCATCCATTTTGCTTTAGCCCTTTGTCTTCACCAAGTATTCAACCGAGCAATAGTACTGTTGAACTCACTAATTTTGGTTCTTAATAACTGGTTTCTTTCATTCGAAAATTGCAGGTCTCGGTCCTCTTTTAGTTGGATTTCATCAATTTCAACTTTTAAAGTAGATTTCACATCTTCTGGCCTTTGGTGTTTAGCTTTGCTCCAAAAGAACAAAGCTTTAAGAACTCTAGAGAACTTTTTATTAAGAACCTCCATAACATTTCCTTTCACCATTTTATTCCAAGAGGATTTAACAATAGGCGTTGCCGCTGAGATGGATAACCAAACATCTTCAAACCTTTGTATTTTAGTTTTATGGATGTCCTGTTCTAATAATTTGAGAACAATCGGACAGTGATCTGATGCTATCCTGCTCAAATGTCTCACACATGGTTGATTGATCCGGTCCAAGGCAATTGAGTTAAGTAAACATCTGTCAATTCTCTCCAAGATCCTTGCACTTCCACTCTTATTGTTGCACCATGTATTTTTAGAACCAATGTAACCCATATCATGAAGATCATTTCTGATCATACAAGCTTTCATATCCAACGGACCTGTTTTAAAAGAAAATTTCTTTCCTCCTTTCTTATCATCTTGAGATAAAATGCAATTAAAGTCACCACCAACAATGGTAGGACTGTCTTGCTTCAAATTTCTGTCCAGAAAATCCCATAAAACTCTTCTTCCTTGCATCTCTCTGCTACCCTAAATTGTGGCTATTAACCAATTACCTTTATTAGGGATCTTCGGATCACCCAACACACACTGCTCTGAAGCTTGGATCAAAGAAAAATTCACAACATTAGATTTCCAAATAAGTAAAATACTTCCAAAACTTCCTCTGGATGGCTACAAAAAAAAAAAAATCCCATTTGTCTCAAAAAGTCTTTACAAATTCTTCTCTTGAAAGATAAGAAATTTTTGTTTCAATGATACCAACAGAAAATACATTCCAATCCTTGATGTACTCCTTCAAATATCGGGAGGCCTCCTTTTTATTTGCCCCCTACAATTCCAAAAACTAACGGAACTCATTTTGGTAAGAATGGGGAAGAGCCCCCACCCCTTCTTTTACTTGAATTGTTCTTCTATAATCTTGAAGTTGCAATCAAAGGCCCAAGAAATCTCTGTTCTTTTGCTAATTTAGTCTTATGAAAAGAAATTTTTTCATGATTTAGATCAGTGTTCTTCCCTATAATTCTGTCATTGGTCTTCATTAAACCTTCTGAAGCTGCTTCAACCATGGAAACGGGTTGACTCTCTATCAAGCTTTCAACTATTTCACCTTCTTCCACAGTCTCAACTATAGATTTAACCTGGACATTCATTATGGAAGAATCTTCACTTTTAGAGTTAAGAACATCAAATTTATCACCTGAAGGTATTTGAATTAAATGGATAGAATCTTCATCTAGATTTCCCAAGGATTCTCTTGCTTCCAATATTTCCTTGGTTTGAGAAGAATAGGGAATACCTGAGTTCGCAAGCAATCCTTCTGGAATTGCTTGAGTTCGCAGGCAACCCACCACAGCAAGTTTAGTTGAAGTAATTTGGCTACCATCCGTGGTAACATTTGTTTCTTCTGAATTACCTTTTTCAGTTACCTCACCATCCACAATTTTTTATCTATCTAAAATAGAATAGGGAATACCTGAGTTCGCAAGCAATACTTCCAGAATTGCTTGAGTTTGCAGGAAACCCATCACAGCAAGTTTAGTTGTTGAAATTTGGCTACTATCCGGGGTATCATTTGCATCTACTTAGTTGCCTCCATAATCAGCTAAATTGTTATTGCAATCAAGTTCCAATAAAATCGTTCCTTGAGCTGATTTATTATTCACTATTATTGCAACAGCTTCCTCCATGTTGTTATCAGCCAACTTTCGATCTTCCTCAGATTTATATTTTTCTTTCTTCCCTGTGACAAAAGTTTCTTTCTCTGGGTTGATCAACTTATAAACCGACTGATAAATATTTTTGAAAGATTTCTTATTCTTTACACCATTTATTTAGGGAATGTCAGCAAAAACTTTTCGTTGGTTGAACCTTTTGCCTTTCTTGTGATTTACCATAACCCAAGGACCATAAGAATTAGAGTTCAATACCTCAGCCTCTTTATCATAACCGTCTTTCACTCCATCTTAAATGATGTCCATCTTCTCCTTCAAATGAACATTAATTTTCTTATTACAGTCCTCTTCCTCATGACCAATCTTCCCATAATGGAAACAAAAGGATGAAATTTTTTCATATTCAACTCTTTGAAAAAATCTCCCTGAAATACTATCAACCCAAACTCCTAAGGGAAGCCTTTGATCAATCTTGACACTTACACAAATTCTCGCAAATTTTCTTCTTCTCCATTGGAATAAGTTACCATCCAACATAAGAGGAGTACCAATCCTAGATGCAATAATTGTAATATTTTGTTCATCACAGCAATGAAGAGGAAGATGAGGCATCCTGATCCAAATTGGCGAAGCTAAACCCTTCATAGATGATGTTGAAAAATCTTGATTCCATTTTTCCATGCCTATAATGTGATTATTGACAAAACAGGGTCCACCTGAGAGAACTTCCTCCATTGACTCATAATCATTGAATGAGCACAAAAACCAGACTTCACCGATTGTAGTAAATTGAAATTTTCCCAACTTATTCCATTATTTTCTAATTTCCCACGCAACCAAGTATGGAGGCATTACCTTGCCAAAAACTTTAATTACCAATAATTTCACCAACCAATTAGCATTAATATTTTCCAATTCTCCACATAACTTCACTGCCTTACCATCATCAGACATGACAACATCTTCTTCTTTAAAATTTAATTTGATGTAAGGTTTAGTAATTCCATTACTAAATTTCTGCTCAAGAGATGATTTATTAGGCAAAACACCAATAACCTTGTCCGCAAATGATATATCCTTATCAACCAGAGCTGATTTGAAACAAGGTGTTTTAACCCTTTCTCTATCAGGATGTCAAGGACTATCCTGACATTCGCCTAAATCAGCGAATCACATTTCCTGACTTCTAATAAATCCAAACTAGAATTCCCCTGATTACTCCATCCAACAAGTTTATTTTTGTTGAGATGCGTGGCAGTATTACTCTCTGAAGCACCAGGATACTTATTAGGGAAATGATTTTCTTTGCTCACCGAATATAGGGAATTCACATTTATCTTGCTGCGAAGGACAGAGATTGCTCTTGAATTACCAAAATGATTCACAAAAATTTTCATTCCCGAAGAGGAAGCCCCCGAATTTGGAGAGAATTTTTGAAAACCTGATAGGTTATAATTTTTACAGTCTGCAGTCGAATCAACTTCCTTTCCCTTACCTTCCACCAGAGAAACCTTATTTTGTTGATCAGCATTCCTCTCTGAGATGACCAGTTCACCTCTTGCTTTTTGATGAAGATCGATTTCTTCTTGAAGTTCCACAGCTGGGTGCCAGATATCAGAATAATCCGGCGATGTCAAAGATGACCGGCGGCCAGCTGTCGCCATGGTCTTGCAATCTTCCGCAAAAGAAGACGGAAAAATCGCGAGACAGATTTTCAAAAATTCGTTTATCTCTCTAGAAACCCAGACCTTCTCTCACTAGGAAGTAGATTCATTTAAATTGAGGCACGAATGTTTAAAGAGGAAGAATTGAAAGATTATGCAAAGAATGAGAACTTAAAGGTTGATGTAAAGACATGTTTCACCTTAGACAAATGTTATAACACGTTGATTATTCATTTATTGAGACATAAAAGCATGTTTTAATTTCTTCCCTCGTACCTAAATTTATCTGAATGTCATTTAAATCTACTGAGTTGTGACTCACCCATGTTGTGGGACACTTTTCAGGAGGATCTGGTAAAGAATAATGTTGGATAGACCTTCCCTCACGTACTATCGTAGGGAGACGATGAACGACAGGTTTTGTCTTTTTGTTTTTGATGTTTTGAGATAGAAGGATTAGAGATGATATGTAAGGAAATGTTTTTTGGCCATCTTTCATATTTTGGAAATATTATGTTTTGATTTATTATAAAGATGTGTTGTTGAATGAATAAAAAGAAAAAAAAAATCCTCTTGGTTTTATTTTTAGTGGCTCATTCTTATGATTGGAAGATGTTTTGTATATTGAAATATGAAAGTTTTTAATTCCTACTGTCTAATCTCCGTTCCTTCCTTGCACTTGCGAGCTAACCGGGCCGGGTCGTGACAGTAAAGTTACAACAAATAGAGATACCATTGTGAAGAAGAAGAAGCATATAGATTGGAATTCCTTTCTCATTTTTCATCTTCCATTTGAACTATAGCTACTAACATGTATATGATGTCGGGTTGTCCGCTATATGGCAGTAAAATCACTCCATTATCTTTTTTTCATAGTTTTTATGTTGCTGGCTTGTCCACTATTCTAAAAGACTTTGATTGAAGTTTTTGGTTCAACGGCAAGAGATACGGCTAAGCAGCTTAAGGTATGAATGTTTCCTTCATTTATTTTTTATCCTATTTTGTTATTATATGCTAGCAAAAGAGATTTTTATTATATTTCCATTTCTTAAATTCTTTTATGATTATGAATTTATTTTTATTTGTTCCTGATATTATTTTGTTTTTTATTTGTTTCTATTCCTATTCATGACTCTACCTCAAATACTATGATTATCAATTATATAATTCAAAAGATATTTTGTATATGCTATCACAATCATAGTCCTGCACAATTATATTTTTAAGATTCTAACAATGGGCATTGTGTGGGATGACTTTCTTACTGGTTCTTAAAATTAAATTACTCAATATTTGTATTGTGATTAGTATTATTAAATTTTCATATTAATATTTTTTTATTTTATAATATTTCTATTAATTTTTGAAGTCTTATCAACATACAAATTGTGCACGTGATTATATGATTCTTTCATATTTATTTGGTTGTTTGGGGCTGTCCAAAAGCAATTTTTTTTTTTTTTAAGTTTGATTATCTTTGTTTGATTCTTCTATGACATCAGTGCACTATTTTAATTCATTTGTAGCAACGTGCACTTTGTGCATGTGCATTTATATTTGTGAATTTTGATGAAATACACTCTATGCACTTGAATATTTTGGATGGTCTAGAATTGCACATATGTGTTTTTAATTCTATGGAATAAAAAGAAATTGTGTATTTATCTATGATTTAAAAAACATAGGAAGGAAGAATGAACTTGGAGGTATGTTCAAAATTGTTCTTGTTTTTTTCTTTTACATTCATTTTTAAATTTTGATGAAATGCAATCTATTATTTTCTTTTCTTTATTTAATTTTCACTAAGGATGACTTTATTGATCTCAAAGGCAAACATGTTCTCAGATCAAAGAAAGGTGGATGAATTTCCTACTATTTCATTGTTGGTAATCAATACTCTCACTTCTCCAATTTCTTTTTTTATTTGAAAGATGTTATAATTCATGATGTTAACATTGATCTAGGATTTATATCATCGATCACTACTAGTACCTCACTAAAATAATTATAAAGTTTTAGTTGCTTATTTTCTTTGTTTAATTTTCTTAAAATATAATTTGGAATGTATAATATAAATAAATTAATCAAAATTGATTTATTTTCATATGCACTTATTTTGTCACCACTTCACTTCATAAGCAAATTACTAACTTAAAATATATCATATTTTAATATAAAAATATAAATATTTTAATTCAGTGCACTTTTTGTTGAATTAATTATATAAATAAAGATAATAATTTTATTTTTTTAAAATAAAATATAATTAAAATATTCAATATATAAATTTTTATTTTAAAATTTTTATTAACGTGCATTTAATACTAATGAAATAAACCTAAGTTTAGAAGCCTTTATGTTCTATCATATTTTTACTTCTACTTGTAATACTTTTTTTATTGCTAAGTAATGCAAATATTTATTTTATCCACAAATCAAACCAACCACAATTTCTTGTGTAGATGTTTATTATTTGCATGCTTAATTTTGTTTCACAAACGATTTCAGCATTATGATTTTGAGGTGTTATGAGGCGTCCAAGAGTATGTCTAGCCATGGAAGATATGATAATTTTTTTGTTCATTGAGTTTCCATCTAGCCATATCTACAAAAATTTCAAAATTCTAAGCTTTTTTGACATCCTCTCACACCATTATTAAAATATTGTGCCTCAAAATTATTATCATTATTTAAATATTTTTCTTTATTGTTCATCATTGAAAATTGTAATGAGATTAAGTGTACTATTATTTGCTTGTTCTATAACATGACTGTATTATCTTCATGTATAGCAACGTGCACTTTGTACACGTGTATTTATACTAGTTTTTGAAATGACCTATAAATTTTTGAATGTTTCACATTTTAGCATCAATAATTTAAAAAGTAGAAATAATAGGAAAATCATTTGTAGAATACGCTTGTAGGAAACAAGAGTAAAAAAATATTTCAAATTAAGGATTATTAATATGGATTACGTTTTAGAAATGACCTGTAAATTATTGAATAGAACACATTTTAGCATCAATAATTTATATAATATAAATAATAGGAAAATCATCTATAGGATATGCTTGTAGTTAACAACTCTCAATTTCATCACTTTACAAAATAGAATTTGAGAAGAACTTGGAAGGAAAACTAGAATCAAGCTTCTTTAATTGCTAATAGATGAAGGGACACAATAAGATACAATGGATCTTCTATTAGAGAGAAAGATCCAGCTATCCCAAATCTCTAGACACTGCTAGAGCCCAAGTAAAAACCAAGAACCAGGAAAATATAGCAAAACAGAGATAAACAAACCTAACCATAACCTCCAAACTTACTTAAGCATTCAAAATTAGGTTAAATCTCAAAACAATCCCTTATATTTGAATTTTTCCTCCTAAATCCTCCTTCATTTCCTCTTAATCATGCAAGTGGATCCCCACCATCAAGGGTGGCAAGCATGGATGGCGAAACTTCCCTATTACGCCTCTTATAAAATTAGACCGGTCCTTGGACCGGTCTTTTAATACTATCCTCCCAAAGAGCTACTCTATCCTTAAGGTGGAAGGAGGGAAATTGATGCTTCACACTTTCGTATGGTTCCCAAGTGGCATCATAGTTATTTAAGTTCTTTCACTTAATTAACACTTCTTGAACTTGCCCTCTCCTTGACGAACTCCTTTAAGCTCATGCGGTTCCAAAACCACCTCCATGGTAGTTCTGATCTAGTTGCATGATCCTCCACTGCTCTCCTCAACTGTGATACATGGAACACTTTGTGTATGGAAGCCATCGGGGGTAACTTCAAGCAATAAGCCACTTCTCTATTCCTCTCCAATATCTCATAAGGGCCAAAGTACCTCAAGGCTAACTTCTCATTTATTCATTTTGCTACTTCCCTCTATCTATTTGGACGAGCTTTAAGAATGCCCTGTCCCCAACGACAAACTAGATTTCCTATATGTGTTCATCTGCCTTCTTATTCATAATTTGTTGAGCCCTTAGTAGGTGACTTTTTAACTCATCCAGCACCTTATCCCTTTCCTCCAAGTACTGCTTTATTGAAGATATTGGTGTGCGTCTATGCCTAAAATATATCAAATGTAGAGGGATCTCCTATACAACATCTTAAAAGGAGTTATCTAGGAGGCCGAGAGGTACAAATTACTAGTATTTTTCCCACGCCAGCCACTTGGCTCATACCCTAGGTGCATTTGAAGCAAAACATCTCAGGTATGTATCCAATCCCCTGTTTACTACTATTTGCCTGTCTGTCTGGGGGTTCTAAGCAGTGCTTCTCTTCAGTGCTGTTCCTTGTAGACTAAACACTTGACTAAATAACACCTTATCTCTATTAGATATTATAGACTATGGTATCCCATTTAACCTGACTACCTCCCTAATGAATGATGCTGCTACCGTCACTGTCGTGTAAGGATGTCATAGGGGATGAAGTGAGCATACTTGCTCAATCTGTCAATGACCACCAGAATCATAGTAAACCCTTTCAGTCAAGGTAACCCATCAATAAAGCCCATTGTGACCTCCTCCCACACCCTATCTAGTTGTTCTGGGGTTGAAGTAACCCTAGAGCCATGGCCATGTACTTATTTCACTCGTATATCTTACATCTAGCGACAATCTCTTCCATATCCTTCTACATCAATTTCCAAAACAACTCTGCTTCTAGTCTCCTGTATATTTTCTGTACACTAGAATGTCCTCCTATAGTGCTCCTGTGGAACTCTTGCAGTAGTTGTGGGATATAAACTGAGGTTCGTGGCATCATAAACCTCCCCTAGTACAACAGTCTCTCCCTCTCTAAAGAGGAGTCCGGGTGACTGTTCTCATCCTTCAAAGATCTGCTCTAATTTTTCCCAACTCCTCATCCTGCATACTCTCCTCTATGATCACCCACTAATCCAACATCATTGGTATCGACATAGCTAACTCTTGGAGCTCCCCCATGCATTTGGAAAAGGTAGCCATCACCTTGTTATGAAATCTTGGACAATAGTGAATCTCAAAATCATAGCCTAATAGCTTTGATAACCAACTCGTCATGCCCTAAAGTGTCCTAAAAGTAGTTTTCTGGATATCCTCCTACCTTATCCTGATCTGATTATATCCTGACTTCAGATCCACCTTGGTGAACACCACTGCTCAACACAACTCATCCGGTAGCTCATCAGTCACCGGCGGTATGGAAAACTTGTCCGGTACAGTCTCCTTATTCAAAGCCCAATAATCAACACAGAATCTCCATTTCCCGTTGTTCTTCTTGAATAACAAGATTGGGCTAGAAAAAACATTCACACTCAGTCTAATAATCCCCTCCAACATCTCTCGGATCAACTTCTTTATCTTGTCCTTCTGAATCTTAGGGTAGCGATAAGACAAAACACTAATCGGTGACACCCAAATCTCTATCTCTGATACCAATTTTTTAGTATATGCTTGTAGGAAATAAGAGTTTCCCCTGCTGAAATTTAATTTCATTATTTTGCAAAATAGAACTTGAGAAGAACTTGGAAGAAAAACCAGAATTGAACTTCTTTAATTGATAAAAGATGAAGGAACACAACAAAATACAATGGATCTTCTATTGGATAGGAAGACCCGACTCTCCCAATTTGAGTGTAAGTTAGCTATGTCGGCTCGAGCTCAACTCATTAACAAACTCGTGAGTCGTGCTTAAAAAGCCATAAGCTCGAGCTCATGCTCAAACTCAAGCTTGATGAGACTTGGCTTGCAAGCTGGCTCGAATCACCATTAATAGTTTTTTAGATAATATTTATTTTATTTACTAAATTTGAATATTATTAAAAATTAATAATAAATACTTTTTTTTAAATCCCGCCTAAATATCAAATTCTAGATTCGAGGTGAACAACCGACCGTGCGATGCTCAAAAGTTCGCAGGAGGCGGACAACCCATGTGAAGCGGACCATGCTAGGTTCGTGGCAGACACGCGTATTGGAGTTCGCAGAATGTGCGTGTAAGATAATCAGACCACCTAAGAAAGATGACTGGACCGTGGAATTTGCCGTAGGCTCACAAGTCAGCTCAAGCTTATTTACAGTGGGCCGAGCCGAGCTCGAGCTCTCCTTTTAAGCTTGACTCGAGCTTGAGCTCAAGTTCGAGCCAATTTTCTAATTGATATGCTGAGTTTGATAAGGACACTACCAGAATTGACTCGACACATTTAAACCCCTACCCAAATCTCTAGACGTCGCTATAGACAAAAGAAAAAAATAGGAACCAGGAAATTATAGCAAAAGCATAAGAAAAATTTTACATGGAAGCTCTAAGGATGTACTATAAGCCAAAGAGTAAGATAAAACACATATGCCACACTTCCTTCTATGTCTCTCGATTATCAAGACTATATCATGTGATGTAAATAGTCAGTGTTTTCGAAGTGCTTAGCATATTGATATATATAATTATTTTTTCTGCTTAAATGTGCAAAGAGCTAAGTGAAGCTAAGCTTTACAAACTAAAGCATTCATGATTTGTTTGCCATGTATACTTATTATATGCATAGAATAGTCATTTTGGACACTTAAATCACATTAGATGTCAATTGTTGTTGTATAGGCATAAGGTTGACTAATATTCTGAACCTTATCATAATTACTTGTGTCCATTCCAATGAATATAAATTATATACTTTTTAGCTACACCAGAGGGATGACAAAATTGTGAAGAAAGGTTTTCATTCTTCTAAATGCAAATTAAACATCGAATGCAAAATAGGAAATTGAAATGTCCTTAAACCCAAAAAACATGTTTATTTCATTCAAAGTAGCAATGAAATAGCTCACAAGAAAAACTGAGAGCAAATAGAAAACTTGACAACAATCAATATTCATCATACAGTGAAATATGACGCATATGACAATTAACAAAACTATAATATCATACACACCAACCAATTAACAACTTAATATAAAGAACATGGATGGCCCTCCCCAAATAGGACATCTAGGGCTCACGTTGGTAGAGGAAGACTCATCTTGTTCGCAATCATCTTAACTATTAAAAAATTTACATCAAATAACACACAAGAATTTAGGGAAATTAAAAATTTTATTTTACTAGGCAGTGTTCCATGAACTTTATGTGACTCTAGGTCCTAAATATTGACTATAAAAGATCCAAAATTAGAAAATCCTTTTAATACTTTATGTTTTGGTATTTTTTTTTAAAGTTAAAACTCTCCCAATTTCAAAAAGTATAAAGAAGCTTCTATTTTCATTGCATACAACCTTACAAATAAATGCATCTGGAGCTAGTAAATAGTCCATTGGTAAGTCCTTGAAAAAAGCATCTAAGGAACACATAGAGGAATAAAGATATCTTATAAGCAAAAGCATAAGAAAAATTTTTCATGGAAGTTCTATGGAAGTACCATAAGCTGAAGAGTAAGAAAAAGCACATATGACACAGTTCCTTCTATGGCTCTCGATTATCAAGATTGTAGCATGTGATGTAAATAGCCAGTGTTTTCGAAGTGCTTAGCATATTGATATATATAATTATTTTTTTCTTAAATTTGAAAAGAGCTAAGTGAGGCAAAGCTTTACAAACTAAAGCATTCATGATTAGTTTGTCTTGTATACATATTATATGCATAGAATAGTCATTTTGGACACTTAAATCACATTAGATGTCCATTGTTTGGAAAATAAAATGATATATTTAATATTATTGATTTTTATTCAAATCAATAATGATATACATAATGAATTAATAAAAAAACACTTAAAAATCTTGAATAATTGTGAGATTGAGTGATCAAATAGGGTCTGAGAGGAAGAGGTTGCATGAAGTGAGAGAGTTAAGATGTGACACCTAAAAGCATTCTTAGGAAGAAAACATGTGAGTAAGACGCTACCAATGTCAAAGAACTTATGAAAAAAATTATAAGAAAATTAGAGGGAATGAATCGGCAAGGAGTGATTAGCTCCAATGGAAGAAAATGTATAGTCAATGAGCAATGACTTATTGGCTATGAGAAACAATAAGGATAAGCGAACACATACACTTAGTTATTTTGGTGAAAGTTGATTTGAACCATGAGAGCTAAACCAAGTTTTCATTTTGAGCTGGAACTTAACACAGACAATTCAACAACGTGACACTTACACTTTGTTGTAAGCTTACGCTTCAGTGGCAAGCAATGCATAGGGCTAGTGCATTGCTTCACCTTGTTTCCAAAGTACTCTTTCAACAAAATGCGAGCAATCAAGTTTGAAAACCCATAAAGTATGTAAATTATGTACCGAAGGCAAGTCATAACCTTTGATTTTTTCCTGCAACTGGTTTAAAACAGAGAGGAAAGCTCAATATGTTGAAATATGGATTGTTCTTTGATGCTTGTTGAATTGGAACCCTTGCAACAATTAACCAAATTTAAAGAAGAAGTCAAAATACTTTAAAGCATAACCTGTTTTTAATCGGATCAACATCATAGGCATATTTTGACATAAACTGAAGAAAAAAAACATTGCAAGCTAAATGAAAATGCAATGCTGGATAATAATGCTGCTATTCAAGATTACTTTATGTTCCAAAGAGTCTATACTTTTATTTATTAATCAAATAGTTTCTTTATTCTTTATTTCTAACTATTATCTTTGAAAGTAAAATTTTATTGTATGTGCAAGTTAGATGATTTATTTTGATAATTAATTAGAAGGAAAAGTACAATCCAAAACTTATGCTCTATAGACTTTGCGCCTGGTGATTTTGATTTTTACTTATTCTATGTACAATACTGCTTTTTAAGAAAATCATTAGCTACTTTGCATCAGGAGTTGGTAGATCTATTGAGAGCATGATCAGAAGTGGATGACTGGCCAGATTATCTGGTCTAAATTTTCTTCAGGTATTTGTTGACAAAGAAGTTGTCATGGGCATTTGATATCAGGATTAAATTTATAATTACTAAGTGTTCTTGTTGTTTAGCACATCCTTGAATGTATTCTTCCACATGCTATCCTCAATTTAATTTTATTCTAGTTATTAAATGCAAAACTTTTTTTGTGTGTGAAATGGATCTGTGTACATTGATACTTGTAAGGTTTATGATTGTTAAGATCATGCACTTAATTTTCACACTTTAATTTTTATTATAGTAATAGAGTGCATTACTTTCTTATTTTTGTGAAATGGATGTCTACTTTAATATTTGCACGGTGTATGATTAACGTCATGCACTTAATTTTTCATGACATGTCTGTCTACATGTATTTTCTCGTGTTAACTAAAGCTACAATGAATGAGTCTATAGTAGCAATGAAAACAATTGATGCCATGAATTTTATAGAAACCCTATGATCAAGTAAGATACTGGTGCTCTTATGTCTTCTCATTCAACTTCTTGCACATGTAATTATTTTCATTCCAAGATTTAAGGTTCCTTGATTTGTTTTATTCCATAGAGAAAATAGTAAGGTGCATAAAAATTTTCTTTATTCTTCTTTTTCTCTTTCACATGACTATATGAAACAAAAATCCTCATGTTTTTGTTTACTGCACTTGTTTCAATGCTTTTATCCACTTTTGAAAGTAAAAGAAGCACGAACCCAATCAATGAAAACAATGGGCAAGGATAGACAACCACCCTTATCCACTTTATGTCTTTCTTTCACAAATTCAAGCTTTTTGGTCTCTTCAGTTTAACTTGGTGCAATACATGAATTTATTATACATTTACCAGTTTTTTGTAATATTGTTCTGTTTAATTTTTACCCTTGGCTATTTCTCACTTTTTTTTTCTTTTCTATTTTTGGTGTCTAGATTGAGAGATCATGGTGTCGTTTATTCTTTTTAATGCGATTTTTTTATTTTTTTTTGGATAAGTGAGGTGGCACAGCCTTGCACCTCTTGGGGTGGATTTGAAGTGTGAGAAAATGTTTAAAGATGCCTCCTTTAGATGAAATAATTCTTTTATGGTTTTCGAAAGGCTCATAATATTCTTATATAAGTTTTCATACCATGATATATTAGTACAATAATACTAACAAAATATAACAATAATTATCTTTATATTACATGGAATTAAACACACATCATATCTTATAACTAACTATATATACATTATTTTCACTTGCAGTAAGAAAATTGATTAGTTTGTTTTGTCATAATATTCACATGAGCTTTCATGATTCAGAGGAGGCCATGCATCATATTCTCGTCATAATTTTTGTTTGAAACTGGATACTTATGTCCACAATCAATCCTATCCTCCATCAAAATGGATATCAATTTTTAAATTACCCAATCCATTACTTGTTAGTTTAATCACTTAAGTTTGAATCTTTCTTTGTGAAGTGCTTATCTCTAACAATTGCATATTTAATTTCCTCGTTAGAGATAACATGACTTATTTTCATCTTACTTCAATAGCGAGAAGAATTCACTATTCAGGTAGAGAGGCTCAACTTTCTTCGTTTTATTTAACACTTTCATTCTGTTCACAAAGGATCTTATTTTGCTAAAATGAGAAGTACGGCTGTTCGCAAATTGAAATATTCTTTTCTCTATAATGAACATGGATGGGTTTTTTCCATTATACTGATTCATTTTCCTGAAATTGTACGTATTAGTATAACGATTATAATGGTAATGACGTTGAATGCTAATTTCATTTTCTAGGGGCATGGATGATTCTGGTATTCAACCTAACTCTCATTCAGAGTTACATAAAGCAAAGTTAGATGTAATTATGTCTTAGAAGTTTTATTAGCTATATTGATTCTTAATTTATTTTTTTGTTATTATTTTTGCTTGCCTATGTGTCTCTTCTAAATTATTCTGTATGCAGTTGACTGCTGTGGGATCAATACTGAATGAGAATTATTGATGGCCATAATATCAAAAGACAATGGTGAACAAACTCCATTATAGTTTTTTTATGGCCCTTTTTATGAATGATTTGCTTATGATTATACTGATTTTCCTATGTGATTCATTTATGATTCTTCTGAAAATGTGTGCTTATATGGTGTTCTACTTGAATTGGCATAATAGGGCTCTCTGTTGCTGCATTGTATCTTGTTGTCTTTATAATTATAAGGACAACATGAAACCGAGATATAATTTACGTGTTTTTAATTTTAGATCGATCTTGCTAACTGAACACTTGAGATATAATTTATAGATTCTTCAGTGGTCATACAAAGAATCTTGATGGAAGTGTTCAATTTGTTAAGGGGTATACAAGTGTGAAAGATGCTATAAATGGAGATGTTAAGATTTTGACTGTTGTAGTATGTATCCATATGACTTTGTTAGAATCATCTCTCCTAAAAGCACTTTTTACTCATGCTTGGAATCCTTTCAATCTCTCTATTAAGCTTCTTTCCTTGAAGATTCTTTCTCTCTCTTAGAGGCTATCCTTTTTTCTCTTTTTGTGGACATTATCTTTATTATAAAATTTTAAGGTATTGGTGACTCTTTGTCACTTAATACTCAAATCTATATGACATAGTTGGGCTAATTATAGTTCTATAGAGTTTGGTTTATGATTTTTCTGAGAACCTATTATAACTCAATACAAATTAGGTTGTGTTTTTATAACATAAATTGGTTATAACTTTAGTTGGTTATTTTCTAATTTATCTTTTTGTTATTTAATGTAATAGATTTACAATACTCGATCCCTTTTTTTGATAAACTTTGACATTTTAACAACATTGAGTCATAAATTTAAAACTTTAAATCATTAAAATATAATATTTAAGAAAGGATAACTTGGTTCATAAAGGGTTAATTTAAAAACTATTTTATTATTTGATTTGCAAGAAATGTCAAAGATTTACTTGAGATTGCAAAGATAGTTTTTAGCTTTTAGTATCTAAGCCATAATTAATCCTATTCATATTCATTAGGAAGTGATTTTAATTGCTCATTTTCTCTCTCTTCTTTAGAAGCCTATCTTTAGGTGCCTCTCTCTTTTTGAGACCACCTCTTAGGAACCTTTGATTCTCTTACATCTCTCTCTCTCTCTCTCTATCTCTCTAATTTAGAGATTTTTAAAAGGTTATACTCTTCAGGCAATAACATGTGTTGGTAGCCTTTTGGATTGTCAACTTAGTTGTCAACTAATATTGAGTGCTTAAGGAAAGTTATGGCTTTATTTAAAAGATTTTACATTAACTTCTAATTGCTTATATAATTCTAAAACAAATTTATTTGATCTTAGGAACCTTTGATTTTCTCTCTCTCTCTCTCTCTCTCTCTCTCTCTAATTTAGAGATTTTTGAAAGGTTATACTCTTCAGGCAATAACATTTGTTGGTAACCTTTTGGATTGTCAACTTAGTTGTCAACTAATATTGAGTGCATAAGGAAAGTAATGGCTTTATTTATCAGATTTTACATTAACTTCTAATTGCACATATAATTCTAAAACAATTCATTTGATCTTATTGTCCATATCTGCAATGGTTTACACTTATGAAACAAGGAATTTTAGAAGGACCAATAAATTGAAAGGTATGTCGTCTATTATAGAGGGCATTATTGAAAACTACATATGTTAATTTGCATTCAATTCTTTCTGCATTTTTCATTAGGCCTAATAAAGAAACTAGTTGTTCCAATGATATATATTATCTAATATAAACTTAAAATTTAAATTAATGATCATTCTATGATGCATTCAGAAGGATTTTTGTTTGCCTTTTTTAGAAGACAACCATATAAAAAAGTCATTTTTGCTCTCATCACTCAATTGTAATGCTATTTTTTTTTTTTTCATATAAACATACTTATGTAGGTTTTATTGTCCAATTTTTTAATTTATGTAGCTCAATTTTTGTCCTACAAAGAAAACACAACAAATTTAACCATTGGACAACCTTCATGATAAGTTCATCTTGGGGATTAGAAAGGGGTGTAGAACCACCAAAATGTATTCAATATTTGTAGGTTATTTCATTAACTATATATTTGATATCTTATGTATTTTTTTTTTTGCTATATTTTTTTCCTTTAATTAAAATGAAAGAGTTACTGTCTTTATGATTTATAATAAGAATTAAGCTATAATTCTTCTTAATTAAGTCACAGTGAAATATATAATATTGATAACAATGTGTGCATCAATTTTTATGCATTGATCTTTTTTTTTTTTCTGCTTTGTTCTTTTTTGCTATTTGTTTAAGCATTAGGTTTTGCTTATTGCCCAACACAACTTACATTAATTATTAATTTTGTTGAATCTGGATATAATCTATTTCACCGTCATCAATTATGAAAAAGATTTGGCCATATCCCACGTAGACAATTATAGCTGACACGCCTACTTTATCTTTTTGTTAAAGGAAATGCTAAGTCTTGTATCATATGCAATATGAGCATTATGCTTAGCCCTATATAGTATCCTCGTAACACACTTTCCTTTGCTTCTAATGCAATGGAAATTACAAACTCTACATATGTTAATATGGTAAATTCAAAATACAATTCATGGTCTTCAAAATCATTCTCTAATACTATTTATATGGTATCTTTGGCAAAAAATTTAGCTCATGTCTCTTTTTTTTTATCATATTATATTTGACAAATAATTGGTCAAAAAATAGTAGAAAGTGGTTGCAAGAATTGAAGCATAATTGCATCCCGATCCTTATGCTTCTTCCAACATCAAATGATGTTCTTTTCGAAAAGAAATGCATATTAAGAAGGTAGAAGAAATGGAAATTGTATTCTTGAATCTTCTAGTTTAGTTTTCCTTGCTTGGTATTTTCATAAGATCAATTTGAATTACCAGAGGCAAATAAATAGAAGAAAATAAAATGCATAAAATTATTCTTCGTGTCGCCATACCAGTTTAATCAAGTTTTCTTTCCTTTAGGATATGATTGTGTCTTTTCGTAGGATTAGACATGCTAGTAGTGGATAATGCCATTCATGGCACTAACCTAATTTAATCCAGTTTTATTTCCTTCGGTTAGCATTCTTTCTTTCCTTAGAATTAGTCATATTAGTGGTGGATAATACCCTTTTTAGCACCATCCTAGTTTATTTTAATTTTCTTTTCCTTTAAATTAACATTCATTCTTTCCTAAAAATTAGACATGCTAGTCGTGTACAACACCCCTTCATGGCACCGTACTAGATTAATTCAGATTTCTTTTTCATTTTGTTAGGATTCTTCCTTTCCCTAAGATTAGAGGTGCTAGTTTTGGATAATTCCCTTCATGACACCATCCTAGTTTAATTCAATTATCTTTTCCTTTAGCTTTAGATTATTCTTTTTTATAGGATTAGACGTGCTAGTTGTGTACAATGCACCATCCAAATTTAATCCAATTTTCTTTTACTTTAGGTTAGGATTCTTCTTTTCCTTATGATTAGACGTGCTAGTGGTGGATAACTTCATTCGTGGCACCATCCTAGTTTAATCCAATTTTCTTTTCTTTTAGGTTAGAATTTTTTTTTCGTTACAATTAAATGTTCTAGTGGCAAAAAATGCCCTTCGTGGCACCATCCTAGTTTTACTCCAGTTTTTTTTTCCTTTAGATTAGAGTATTTCCTTTCCTAAGGATTACATGTGGCAGTGGTGGATAAAACCCTTCATGACACAATCCTAATTTAATCCAATTTTTTCCCCTTAAGTTAGGATTCTTCCTTTCTGTAGGATTAGATGTGCTAGTGGTGGACAACGCCCTTCGTGGCGCCATACTAGTTTTATCCTTTTTTGTCTTTTCCTTTAGGTTAGGATTCTTCCATTTCTTAGGATTAGATGTGCTAGTGGAAGATAATGCCCTTCGTGACACCATCCTTGTTTAATTATATTTCCTTTTTCATTAGGTTATGATTTTTCTTTCCTTAAGATTAGATGTGCCAGTAGTGTTAGTGATGGATAACGTCATTCGTGACACTATCTTAGTTTTAATCAAATTTTGTTTTTCTTTTAGGTTAGAATTATTTCTTTCCTTAAGATTAGGCGTGCTAGTGGTGCATAACGCCCTTCATGACACCTTACTAATTTGATCCAATTTTCTTTTACTTTGGTCAAGATTTAGTCTAGTCTTCTTTTTATTTTTTTAGGTTAGGATTCTTACTTTCCTTAGGATTAGGCGTGTTAGTGGTGGATAACGCCCTTCGTGACACTAATCAAGTTTAATCTAGTTTTCTTTTTATTTAAGTTAGGATTCTTCTTTTTCTTAGGATTAGATATACTAGTGGTGGATAATATCCTTCGTGGCACCATCTTAGTTTAAGCTGGTTTTCTTCTCTTTTTGGTTAAGATTCTTCCTTTCCTTACGATTATACATTATAGTCATGAATAAGGCCATTCTAGGCACCATACTAGCTTAATCAAGTTTTATTTTTCTTTAGGTTAGGATTCTTCATTTCCTTAGGATTACACAAGCGAGTGGTGGATAACACCCTTCATCGCACAATCCTAGTTTAATAAAATTTTCTTTTCCTCTAGGTTAGGTTTATTCCTTTTCTTAGGATTAGACGTGCTAGTGGTGGACAATGCCCTTCGTGTTACCATCCTAGTTTAATCTAGTTTTCTTTTCCTTTAGGTTAGGATTCTTCCTTTTTGTAGGATTATATGTTATAGTCGTGCACAACACCTTTCGTGGCACCATACTAGTTTAATCCAGTCTTCTTTTTTTTTAGGTTAGAATTCCTCCTTTCCTTAGAATTAGATGTGCTAGTCGTGGATAATGCCCTTCCTGACACCATACTAGTTTAATAAAATTTTCTTTTCATTTAGGTTGAAATTATTCCTTTCCT